TTCCAAGGTCACCTGGTTTGCTGCCACCTCTCCTAGCGACGTGACGTCCCCTGTTCTATTGTAAAGACCTCCTGGAACCTTTTGTTGAGTTCTTCACACACGTCTTTGTCATTCTCTTTGTACCTGTCCTCGCCCACCTTAAGTTTCATCACTTGTTCCTTCACTGTTGTCTTCCTCCTGATGTGACTGTGTAGTAGCTTTGATTCGGTCTTGGCTTTATTAGCTATATCTTTTTCATACCTTTTCTCAGCTGCTTTTCTAACACTAACATACTCGTTCCTGATTCTCTGGTATCTCTCTCTACTTTCTGGTGTTCTGTTATTACGGAAGTTCCTCCATGCCCTTTTGTTCAGCTACTTTGCTTTCATACATTCCCTATTAAACCACGGATTCCTCGTTTGCTTCTCTGTTTTTTTCCTGTCGGGCTGGGACAAATTTGCTTACAGCCTCCTGACATTTTTGGGTGACATAGTTCATCATGTCTTGTACGGACTTGGTTCCGAGCTCTGTGTCCCAATGTATATCCCATAGGAAATTATTCATCTCCTCATAGTTTCCCTTTCGGTACGCCAGCCCTTTGTTTCCCAGTTCTTTTTTGGGGGTGACAATTCCTAGCTCAAGCAGGTACTCAAAGCTCAATACACTATGATCACTCATTCCCAAGGGGGCTTCCAACTTAGCTTCCCTTATATCCGACTCATTTAGGGTAGATATCAGATCAAGCAAGGCTGGTTCATCCCCTCCTCGCATTCTTGTCGGTCCCTTGACGTGTTGACTTAGAAAGTTTCTTGTTGCCACATCGAGCAGCTTAGCTCTCCATGTGTCTGGGCCTCCATGTGGGTCTTTGTTCCCCCAATCTATCTTCCCATGGTTGAAGTCTCCCATGATTAGTAGTCTGGATCCGTTCCTGCTAGCCACTGAAGCTGCTCTCTCTCTTACATTGATGGTGGCCAAGTTGTTTCTATCATATTCCTGTCTGGGTGGTACTGTGTTGTTACACTGACACTGTGGTGGTACTGTGTTGTTACACTGACACTGTGGTGGTACTGTGCTGGTACACTGACACTGTGGTGGTATTGAGCTGTTACACTGACACTGTGGTGGTACTGTGCTGGTACACTGACACTGTGGTGGTACTGAGCTGTTACACTAACACTGTGGTGGTACTGTGTTGTTACACTGACACTGTGGTGGTACTGTGCTGTTACACTGACACTGTGGTGGCACTGAGCTGTTACACTAACACTGTGGTGGCACTGAGCTGTTACACTAACACTGTGGTGGTACTGTGCTGTTACACTAACACTGTGGTGGTACTGTGCTGTTACACTAACACTGTGGTGGCACTGAGCTGTTACACTAACACTGTGGTGGTACTGTGCTGTTACACTGACACTGTGGTGGTACTGTGCTGTTACACTGACACTGTGTTGGTACTGTGCTGTTACACTGACACTGTGGTGGTACTGTGTTGCTACACTGACACTGTGCTGTTACACTGACACTGGTGGTACTGTGCTGGTACACTAACACTGTGGTGGTACTGTGTTGTTACACTGACACTGTGCTGTTACACTGACACTGGTGGTACTGTGCTGGTACACTAACACTGTGGTGGTACTGAGCTGTTACACTAACACTGTGGTGGTACTGTGCTGTTACACTGACACTGTGCTGTTACACTGACACTGTGCTGTTACACTGACACTGTGTTGTTACACTGACACTGTGCTGGTACACTGACACTGTGCTGGTACACTGACACTGTGTTGTTACACTGACACTGTGCTGTTACACTGACACTGTGGTGGTACTGAGCTGTTACACTAACACTGTGGTGGTACTGAGCTGTTACACTGACACTGTGGTGGTACTGTGTTGTTACACTGACACTGTGCTGTTACACTGACACTGTGGTGGCACTGAGCTGTTACACTGACACTGTGGTGGTACTGTGCTGTTACACTGACACTGTGGTGGTACTGTGCTGTTACACTGACACTGTGCTGTTACACTGACACTGTGTTGTTACACTGACACTGTGCTGTTACACTGACACTGTGGTGGTACTGAGCTGTTACACTGACACTGTGGTGGTACTGTGCTGTTACACTGACACTGTGGTGGTACTGTGCTGTTACACTGACACTGTGCTGTTACACTGACACTGTGTTGTTACACTGACACTGTGCTGTTACACTGACACTGTGGTGGTACTGAGCTGTTACACTGACACTGTGGTGGTACTGTGCTGTTACACTGACACTGTGGTGGTACTGTGCTGTTACACTGACACTGTGCTGTTACACTGACACTGTGGTGGTACTGAGCTGTTACACTGACACTGTGGTGGTACTGTGCTGTTACACTGACACTGTGGTGGTACTGTGCTGTTACACTGACACTGTGCTGTTACACTGACACTGTGCTGTTACACTGACACTGTGTTGTTACACTGACACTGTGCTGTTACACTGACACTGTGGTGGTACTGAGCTGTTACACTGACACTGTGGTGGTACTGTGCTGTTACACTAACACTGTGGTGGTACTGTGCTGTTACACTGACACTGTGTTGGTACTGTGCTGTTACACTGACACTGTGGTGGCACTGAGCTGTTACACTGACACTGTGGTGGTACTGTGTTGTTACACTGACACTGTGGTGGCACTGAGCTGTTACACTGACACTGTGGTGGTACTGTGCTGTTACACTAACACTGTGGTGGTACTGTGCTGTTACACTGACACTGTGGTGGTACTGTGCTGTTACACTGACACTGTGGTGGCACTGAGCTGTTACACTAACACTGTGGTGGTACTGTGCTGTTACACTGACACTGTGTTGGTACTGTGCTGTTACACTGACACTGTGGTGGTACTGTGTTGTTACACTGACACTGTGTTGGTACTGTGTTGTTACACTAACACTGTGGTGGTACTGTGTTGTTACACTAACACTGTGGTGGTACTGTGTTGTTACACTAACACTGTGCTGTTACACTGACACTGGTGGTACTGTGTTGTTACACTGACACTGTGCTGTTACACTAACACTGTGGTGGTACTGTGTTGTTACACTGACACTGTGCTGTTACACTGACACTGTGGTGGTACTGTGTTGTTACACTGACACTGTGCTGTTACACTAACACTGTGGTGGTACTGTGCTGTTACACTGACACTGTGCTGTTACACTAACACTGTGGTGGTACTGTGTTGTTACACTGACACTGTGCTGTTACACTGACACTGGTGGTACTGTGTTGTTACACTGACACTGTGCTGTTACACTGACACTGGTGGTACTGTGTTGTTACACTGACACTGTGCTGTTACACTGACACTGGTGGTACTGTGTTGTTACACTGACACTGTGCTGTTACACTAACACTGTGGTGGTACTGTGTTGTTACACTGACACTGTGCTGTTACACTGACACTGGTGGTACTGTGTTGTTACACTGACACTGTGCTGTTACACTGACACTGGTGGTACTGTGCTGGTACACTAACACTGTGGTGGTACTGTGTTGTTACACTGACACTGTGGTGGTACTGTGCTGTTACACTGACACTGTGCTGTTACACTAACACTGTGGTGGTACTGTGCTGGTACACTAACACTGTGGTGGTACTGTGTTGTTACACTAACACTGTGGTGGTACTGTGCTGTTACACTGACACTGTGCTGTTACACTAACACTGTGGTGGTACTGTGTTGTTACACTGACACTGTGCTGTTACACTGACACTGGTGGTACTGTGTTGTTACACTGACACTGTGCTGTTACACTGACACTGTGCTGGTACACTAACACTGTGGTGGTACTGAGCTGTTACACTAACACTGTGGTGGTACTGTGCTGTTACACTGACACTGTGCTGTTACACTGACACTGTGGTGGCACTGAGCTGTTACACTGACACTGTGGTGGTACTGAGCTGTTACACTGACACTGTGGTGGTACTGTGCTGTTACACTGACACTGTGGTGGTACTGTGCTGTTACACTAACACTGTGGTGGTACTGTGTTGTTACACTGACACTGTGGTGGTACTGTGCTGTTACACTGACACTGTGGTGGTACTGTGCTGTTACACTGACACTGTGGTGGTAATGTGCTGTTACACTGACACTGTTGTGATACTGTGCTGATACCCCTGACACTGTGGTCAAACTGTATATTGATACTGAACACTGACACTGTAATGATACTGAACTGTCTCACCGAGACTGTGATGATACTATACCGTCTCACTCTCACTGTAGTGATACTGATATCTCACACTGACACTGTGGTGGTAGAGTACCGGTATACTATATTGGTAATTCTGCACCGTACAACATGATGACATTTTGGTAATACTGTACACTAACACTGCAGGCGATGAGTCACAATAACGGGGCTGAAGTATGTTGACCAGACCATACACTAGAAGGTGAAGGGACGACGACGTTTCGGTCCGTCCTGGACCATTCTCAAGTCGACTTGAGAATGGTCCAGGACGGACCGAAACGTCGTCGTCCCTTCAACTTCTAGTGTGTGGTCTGGTCTACACTAACACTGTGATGTACTGTACTGTACCATCCAATGACACCATTGCATCACCACGCTGACACTGTCGTGGTATTGTACCACCACACTGATAATGTAGTAGCAAAGTACCGACACAATCACACTGTTGTGGTTCTCTACCGTCACACTGACACTGTGGTGCTAAGGCCGCTTCACACTGATACCGTGGTGGTATTGTACTGTGGTGATATCACACTAACACTGTGGTGGAACTATACCTTTACAGTGACACTCTGGAGGTATTGTACCATCACACTAAGATTGTGATGTCACAGTACCGTGACACACTGACACTCTTTTGGCCTGTACCGTCACACTGACACTGTGGTGGCTGATAGTTCAGTACATTCACTCTAACACTGTTGAGTATAGTAGTACTGTACCGTCACACTGACACTGTTGAAGATAGTGGTACTGTACCGTCACACTGACACTGTGGTAGCTGATGGTTCTTCCCCGCCACGCTGACACTCTTGTGGTAGCGTACTGTCACTCCACTGTGAGACTGTGGCAGTAGAGTTGAGTCAGCGTGATGGGGGGAGGGGGGGGGGCGGCGAGCTTGGATCAATGTAATGCTTGTTGACCATTGGAGAATGTTGCCTTGATCGACCCGTCTCAAAGTTCACGTGAGTGCCAGAGTACCACAGTTCACGTGAGTGCCAGAGTACCACAGTACACGTGTGTGCCACAGTACGACTACTATATGTGGTATTGCCGTCGTGAAGGTACACTCTCGCCGCTGTTTTTCCATAAAGAAAAGTAGATCATTTTTCTGAAGTTCACTTTGTAATGCAGACAAGGAGTCACAATAACGTGGCTGAACCTACACACCAACCTAAACACTAGAAAGTGAATGACGATGTTCCGGTCCGTCCTGGATAATTCTCATGTCGATTGTTACCATTCTCAGATCGAGTAGCAAATATCACTTTGTAATATTTGAGTCGCAAAATATGGTTATCTATGTATAAGTATTAAATAGTAGTTGTGACTATATGTTTCTTGTCTGTCTGGAAATGGAAGCCACACGTTTGGGGCTTCCCCACCCAAACATTTTCGGATGACTAATGTGGGGAAAAAAAATCTTTCATAAGCAGATCGGAGTCTGTCCAATTGTCCCCACTTAAGGAGAGTTTGTTCCTATGGAGACCTCTCATTCAGTCTGAAATTTGTTCTTGGTTCAGAGCGTTTAAAAATCTCACTAACGTGACATATTAGTGAGAAAATCAATTGGGCCATGATATTCATCGTGGTCCAGTCCAGTGCTGTAAGGCGTGAGGCTGGTTAGAATTCCCGTAATTACTTCAGTGGATTATTTCCTTACATATAATGATATGCAGAACTCATATTAACATATCAGATTCGCATTCTTGGGTCTCCAAACACTGGAGTGGCTCAACGTTTTGGGAAGCCCCGGGCACCGCTGAGCACTCAATCCAGTGTTTCTTTAATTGTTATACCTAACAGCCAGAGTAGCCTAACAAGCCAAATTTTCATTATATATGAAATTTTTCTATTTAGTTTTGTTATGGAATTTTTTTAATTTTGGTTGCATTTTACCTTGTGATTTTTGTTATTTCAGTCAAAACTAACATAGTAATTTGATAAAATCTAACCTGACCTAACCTTTCCTAACCCAGTATAATTAAACAGAGAAGAATCGTGTGCTTAATGTTAATGTTATTAATAAGACTTAAGCAATGTTGAACGAAATATTTTAAAATAATGAATAACGATCTGTCTGCTAAGCACTTCAGGCTTTGTTTACTAGACAAATTAACGCTGCTCTGGCTATTGGTAACGACATAGATTTATTTCGCAACCAGTTTCAATAACCTCTTCCATCTCTACAGAGGTGTGGTGCATGACTAACACACACAACAGAGGTGTGGTGCATGACTAATACACACAACAGAGGTGTGGTGCATGACTAACACACAACAGAGGTGTGGTGCATGACTAACACACAACAGAGGTGTGGTGCATGACTAACACACAACAGAGGTGTGGTGCATGACTAACACACACAACAGAGGTCTGGTGCACGACTAACACACAACAGAGGTGTGGTTCATGACTAACACACAACAGAGGTGTGGTGCATGACTAACACACAACAGAGGTGTGGTGCATGACTAACACACAACAGAGGTGTGGTGCATGACTAACACACAACAGAGGTGTGGTGCATGACTAACACACAACAGAGGTGTGGTGCATGACTAACACACAACAGAGGTGTGGTGCATGACTAACACACAACAGAGGTGTGGTGCATGACTAACACACAACAGAGGTGTGGTGCATGACTAACACACAACAGAGGTCTGGTGCATGACTAACACACAACAGAGGTGTGGTGCATGACTAACACACAACAGAGGTGTGGTGCACGACTAACACACAACAGAGGTGTGGTGCATGACTAACACACAACAGAGGTGTGGTGCATGACTAACACACAACAGAGGTGTGGTGCATGACTAACACACAACAGAGGTGTTTGTAGTCAGTTAGTCGACTAACACACACAACAGGTATTTCCTCCCTAGATCACGACACAGAGGCACTTGAATAGGAAACTCTCCGCTCTTGGGTCTCCGATTTGCCTAATAAGTTCTACACCCATCTCCTTCAGGAAATTAGATACACATTTACCCCAGGTGTCCTGGGTCTCGAACTTGTAACAATGTCAGAAGTCCCTGTACTTAATACGTTTCTAGATCTCCCTGAAGTTGGCAGCTTCTATGCAGATAGATACGTGTAGTCCCACACAATTGGTTTACCATCCCTCCATGGTTGCAGGGTAACTCCATCTGGGTGCTTGCGACTGTTGTTAGGTCTGCACATCTAAGATTCCCTTTATGCTGGACACTTAGCTGCAGCTAAACTTCTTTTGATGATGTCACTAACTGATCCATTTCTAGCAATCTTTCCCTTGTGACGACAGATGGGACCATGACTACCGTATTGGTCTGCCAACGCATAACCAGAGATACACCAGTGTTCGGTGGAGATATGGGTGGTGAAGTGAAGGGAAACACTAATACTTAGGACACAAAGGTCCAAGCGGGAACTCGAAGAGGAATTAGGGACAGCCCCAGCATGAGGAGGGCTTGCTTCATTTTTCGCAGAAGTTACCTCCTGCATTACAAAGGCAATATTCTCCACTATTCTTGAGACAAAAGTGACATGCATAACATCACTATATTGGAACAACTGCAGACAGACCAACTGGAATAACTCCACTGGAGCTATTCCAGTTGGTCTGTGTTCAGTTGTTTGGAGAAGATGGTTGAGGTAAAAAATACTATGATTGCCGTCTCGTTCGTACCTTTTCAAACTTCAAGTTTTGTCCATCTCTTATACACACTTTAGGGACCCAGTGGTCATTTTAGTTCAACAAGGAAGTGTGCAAGCTACGCATTGTAGGAACAATTAAGTAGTTTTAAGTATTTTGAAGGGAGTAGCCAAATCTACCAATTTTCCAATATGGCATTCGTGGCGTTATCATCTGAGCAGTTTTCCATGAAAGAGGAGCAAAGTCGAGGTTACCGAGAACCTTGGATGTAAAAAAAGGATATAATTGGAGACAGGTTTAGCGCAGGGGGCTAATCAGAAGGGGAACCGATGTCACGTGATCATCGAGAAAGGCCGCGTGACGTGTCATTGGTGAGGGACACTTCAGTGTTCCCTAGTCCTTCTGTGGAGCAGGATGTTTCAGGATTTGCTCCCGAATTTGTGGAATAAAAGACTTAAGGAAGACTCGAGGAGCCTTTGGAAGGTGTGATAGTCAGAAGTATCAAGAGTCAAGTTTCTTAAGTTTAGTCAAGAAGTATCAAGAGTCATCGGCCAACGGTCTGGGACAGTTTTGAATATGACGAGTGTGGTTGTGCAGGGCCTGTCAGTGCGGAGAGCTTTGTAGAACTTATCCACACCTTAATATTGCAAGAAATTCCACGACTACGAGGGCAGTTCAGATCAGAAGGGTCAGAGAAGAATCTGTGGTGAGAACAGTGAACTGAAACAATAGCGATGTGAGCGACACTTTTACCTAGTAAGAGAAAGTGCGGTGAACAGTGAAGCATAAAGTCTGCAGTTCTTATTAGTAACCTTTATGCCAGTGAGTGTGGGCAGTGCAGTGACTCAGTAACAGATAACTTAAGTGCCACAGAGTCAAGTTGCAGTGAAATTTACATTAAGTGCCGGTCTGAGTTCAGAGCCACTTGATAACAGTGACGTGTGAGGTGTTAGCAGGATGGAAGAGCGACACAATACTGCAGAGAGGGCCCGGGGCCCTATTCACATTACCTGCAGGTGGACTGGATCATCCCCTTGAGGGTAAACTTGTGTGGTGAGACAGTGCCAGGTCCTCAGAGACACCTCCCGAGTGTGTCTCTTATTTTCCAGTCGCCAAGAAAAAGGAGTTGTTGCAGGGATCGTTTGGTCTAGTTGAGGATGCAAGGGAGTAGAGGCAAGATTTCAATGCAAGAATTGGAGGAAGAGGTGGTGAACGATGCATCACCAAGAGCTACAAGGAAAGAGGTAGTCACCGGCTGCAGTTTCTGGCCCGCTTGCATGATAGAAGGATTCTGGGAGTCAGCTGACCATCGTCAGCATCTCATTATAAATAACTTTCCTCCCCTACTCCCTCGGGTTTGTTTACTTCTGAGGAATAATATTAGGTAATTCTTGGTCTAGTTTCGACAGTGATAATTTTTCCATGGTGTATTTTTGCCCTTGTATTTTCCAATTAAATAAATAGTATTTGGGGGCCTTACAAGTTGATTGCCATAGCCTAGTGATGGCTAAAGATTCCATTTCTTTTCTTACTGGTTATGCGAGGTTACAATTAACGTAAATTAAGAATTAATCAAAACGGTTTTGGTATCTTTTTCCTTCATTAGTTTTGTGATACTCAGGTGAGTGCGTGCATTAAAGTAAACTTTCGAGTTTGAAAGGTTTGCAAGAGGCGGTCAGTTTACAATTTTGACGAGGTTTATACAGCAACTGTCTGATATTTGTTTAGTTTTTCATTAAATGTCATAGTACATGCTGTTCTCCTTTGACTCTTTCTTTTTGTTATTTATTTATTATTAATTACCAATGTTTATACTGAGTTTTAATAACTGATATACACTGTGGGTCATACGTGTGTGGGAGAGGTTTGGCTAGATAAATTGCAGCATACGTGAAGAGGTGGCAGATAACCTGGAGGAAGTGTGTCTACACCGGAAAACTATCGAGAAAATGCCAGAGAACCTATAGCGCGTGGTGATGCTAATAACACATGAGGGTTACTGAGACCCCCTTAGTTAGTTTACCAGAGTATGCAGGAACCTAGCCTCCCCTGTTATTTGATAACTGCACTGGGTACAGTGAGCACAGTTGTGAAATTTATACAGTGGGCACTGGGTGAATGAGCTCTGTTACGAACCAGGTATTTACCTGACTTCTTTCTAGTTTATGTAAAAAATAATTATACATTCATCATGCTTCATTTT